GGGGGGGGGGGCGTCCGGAGGCCAAAATCGGTCACGTAGACGCAAGTAGCTAAACTAGCTTCAGAGGACGTTGCTAGCTGAAGCTGAGGTCCACATGGGCCCAGCCATCCATTCCTGGCCTAGACACGAATCGCATGCGCCTTGTCTCAGAGAGTAAGTTCTTTCTGATCACAAGGAGGTCAGTACGTTAAAAATAAATTGCTTTTTATGTGATCTATCCGCTCTCCTTAGAGTAGTTCAGATGGGCTTGGGACAACCCGACCCCAGAGCAACACGCGCAGCAATTTTGAAACGTATTTTTATGAATTTTGCGTTTGTGTAAATGTCGAGGTAAATGTATTCAGTGTCAATTGCAGCACACCAGCATTACTAAGATGTGTGCAGTAAAAACTGTATACTGGTGGCATACTCTGTCTTTGAGGGTACCTAGCCTAAATTTCCTAGAGTTCGTCACTTTGTTCCAGGGTGGAGTAGCCATGGCTGCAGCGAACTGCAGTGGGCTGGGGCCGTGCGCAGGCGGGCTAGTGCTGCCCTCCTCGCTGGCCCTGCCCACGCTGGCGCCGAGCCTGGCCCCGGTGCCGGGCCTGGGCCTGGCCAGCAGCCTCCGCGTTGCCAACCCACCCAGCCTGGCGAGCCTTGGACTGGAAGGCGTCGAGGCGGCTTTGGAGGCGGGCCTCGCTTCCTCCATGGACGTCAACATGAGCCTCCGCAACGTCAGCGCCGTGGAAGTCGTCCTAGAGGGCTACCTGGTCATGGTGGCCGTCTCGCTCATGCTGGCCGTCCTCATACTTGCCACCGTTATAGGTATGTACACTGTTAGAAATTGTTGTAAATTATCAACGATAGGGTAGTTAATTTTGTAAGCAGCTCGCGTTCTTTTAATAAACATGTCACAGACAGACATCAATAACTATCTCTGAAACGTTTTTGGGCCATAAAGTGGTAACTGATGCCGATGAACTAGTCATGGCAATGTATACTTTGTCATTACAGCGAGAAATATCTTTTGGGGACTTCTGCCTGGCTTACCTCACTGCAGCGCCCTCGTTCGGCCCATCAGTGTGCCCCCTGTGCATTCATTCCATGACTGGGGTAGCCGCTGCAAGCCTGTCGTCCTAGGAGGTCCTGCTTAGATGTTTCTCTGCCTAACCGGCCATTACCAGGGACTCTCCTTGCCGTCCAACCATTAGGCCTCGCCCTTTGTCGCCCTCTCTGTTCCCGCTCCTGAGTACGAGGCCGCTGCTGCCGCCTGCTCCCTAGAGTGTGTTGGATACCTGCGTCTCAAAGCCCTTAGAGCGCTGTGAGCAGAGTGTGCTGCCGACTATGACTCGGCGACGCGCTGGAGTTGCAGGGAAAACAAAACGAATGAAACTTGCTCGAAAAGTATTTCCACGTAGTTTTATATTAATTGGGATGTAACTGCATTAAAATAATTTTCACGCTGCCCGTATACAAATTGCATAACAATAACAATCGGCATGGCGGTCTGTGGCTCGAATGTCCCTCACACCCTTTGTATGCGCGTCATTGGGCCGGCATGGAGGGGGCCGGAAAAGGGACGGTTCAGGCGGTCGTCACGAACACGCTACTCGCCATGTGTGGTCCGGGGATGATATCGGGGCTGGTCCGCGTGGCCACGCATTGTCTATTCCACGCAGCTCGGCGGGGATGCGCGCCGCCCGGGCCTAGTCAGGACGTGGGGCTGACAATCAGCAATGCAAAGAGACCGACAAATGGGCCTCTATCACCGCGGCCGCGCGGCACCCGCATTCTTTACTCTGCATCCCTTATTCCCATCCACGCCTCTCTCTCCACTCTCTTTTCCTCTCCCCCTCTGCCGGCATACAACAATGTAAGGCTGCAAAGAAAACCTAAAACTCAAACAGCACTGCAGAAAAAATTATGTAGATGTTTTTCAGAATTTGCACTCTGAATCTTGTTTTTAGACCATTACTCAAAATTTTCTAAATTTAGACTGAAAATCCAGACTTTTAAGCAATTTGTTTGGATATTTTGAAGTATACTTTCAGACTTTGCACTGCATTTTTAATTCAGACATAGCCCTCTACCCCGATAAATATTAAATCGTTCGCTATACGTTCATTTTTAACATCTACAAAAATATTTTCAATCCGGCTCTCCGAATTTTCAAACTACCGTTATGTGGTGTGGTAAGACACTACCGAAATTTCAGACCCGGGTGCAGTCTGAAGTTTCAAACTACTGGTCTGTAAAAAGAACTTCAGACTTAAAGTACTGAAAATTCAGTAAAACGTTTCTTACAGTGAGATCGAGGAAATGGTATAGCCGTTACTGTATTTAAATTCAGCAAATAGAAGTCTCTGAGCTATTGTATTCAAGTTACGTGTTCCATTTTACGTCTGTCCAGAAACATGCTCGCACACTGTCCCAGCAAAAATGCGTTGCGTTGCATAATCCATAAAACACAAAAACTTCACTGTCCGTTTGTCTTTGTTTAATATTGTCTTCTAGGGAGCGAGTTCTTATGTAGTGGGTTGTGGGTGTTCAATATACCTTTCCTAAACTGAATAAATTCAAATTTAAAATTCTTTCCTTCTCTCTCTCTCCCTCCCACCCTCTGTTCTCACCTCAGGTGCCCTTGTGTCGTTCGTTGGTAAGCGCTGTAATGTTTACATTGAAATTCACTAAAATATCTTGCTTGTTGACTGTGGTAAAGCGACCGTCCCCAACCCGACGCCCTCCATCCTAACTGGCTCCATTGGGACGGGGATAGCGTCGCGGCCGCCGATGATGGGGGGGAAATATTGGGCTGCATGTGGGAGGCGCCGGCCATATGGGTAAGAGCGGCGCGGCTGGCGGCGCCCAAACGGGTGGGGCTCAGAAGTAAAGCCAAGTGGACCGCGAATGGGACTGTCGGGGCTGCGCAGGCCTGTGCGCACTGCGGGACATCTCCATATAGCGCGTCAGGCGGACGAGGCTGG